TTTCAGAGCCTTTAAATAAAGTACAGTAGTAAAATTTCATATAAGCAAATTCCTACGATTATTCCACACCTGAAAACCTGACCACCGAAAGTCGCTCGCCCGAAAGAAAAACCGAACAATTTATGCGTTTCCTTATTCTTCCCGGTTTATGTTTTGAATTTGAATGCACGACAGTCCTAAGCAAAAAAATCCGTAAGCTGCAGTGGTAAATCACACCCACCGAGCAATCATAATAATACAGGTCTAACAAAAATAAAATAAAACAAAATAAAAGATTCTCGCATCATGTGGGTGCAAAAACATTTTTTGAATAAACCGTGCAACAATAAACTCCCCACCTTTGAGTGAGTAAAAAAGCTCGTTCAAAGCTTTTGATGACGCAAAGAATAAAACCGGAAAATTTCCCGAGGGGTTACACCTGTTTTTCTTCACAAACAACTGTGATTCATTGCACTGAAATTCTGCTTGGAAATGAAGTAAAATTTTCCCAGTTTCGCTTTAAAAAATTTTCATCTGTTGTTATCTCAGTTTCAAGAGCACCCAATTATTAAAAACAATTATAGGGATGGAATTTTTTCCGTTGCTGATTTGAATGATTGTTGCGATTTTAATGGCATTTCCTACACATTTCAATGTTTATTTAGTCAGCATTTGCAAACATTTGCTTCCCTTGTTTGTCCCGGGTCATTATGATAAAAATGTATACTGAATTTACCTAATTTCATAAATGTCTGACTTTTGCAAAATGAGGGAATTGGCATCTTGGCATCTCCACTTTTTTCTAGTAATCAGGGTATAATTTTGAGTTAATATACTGTACGTTGATGCCGTTCACTTCGAAGTCATCAAATAAAATGCAGAACTGACCAGAGTGAGCGACGTTTTACTGAGCGGTCAGCTCTTTATTTTTATTTTTTATCCTGCCTTCAACTGATGAATGTTCATTTCATTTTAAATATTGAGTGAATGATAATTAAGCATTCATCATCTGGACAGATCCAATCAGCTCGTTCAGGAATTCCCACGAAACTTCAGCGCTTGCCAAGAGCTGATTAATTCATCCATTCGCATCTACACACAAAAACTTTCCCCGACAGAAGAAAGATGATCCCACAAAACTGTGAGAAGTGGGGGTAGAGCATAAAAGGGGGGGGGGATCAGACCCCCGGCCAAGAATGTGGACCAACCGAATTCCAGCAATCTCAATCTTCCTCTAATACATCCGATGTGTGTGGCCTGGATTTTGTTCCTCTGCGCCCACATTCTTCAAGCCCCGAGGGGGGAGTGTGAAAAGGGAAGGCGAAATCAGGGCAGCAGAGTAGTGGAGGGATATAGGGAAATGAACGGGGTGGTCTTCCTCCTTCCTGAACTGCGGCCAAGTGTAATAGTTTCTCCACTGGACTACTCGGAAGAATCATTATAGGGCCCTTGTGTTGTGCACAAACAAGTAATCTCACATTTTTGCCAGTTAGTTTGCTCGGAAAATAGCGATTCGCTGATTTTCATTCATATAGCGACTCTCCTTCAAACCGTTTTCATGCACGTCATTTTTTTTTTCTCGCAGAAATATTTTCTAGAAAAACTAAATCGTCCTTGTCATGTTAAAATTTGCATAAATGTACACGTATGCGTGTCAAATAAATCGGAATTGCTGCAAATACTACAGTATACCAATACAATAGTTTTCTGCCGGTCAAAATGCGAGCGAATAAGTAAGGAATACAATTTTTCTGGTCGAAAAGCGAGCGAATATTTGAGGAATACATTTATGATAATTTGTAAAATTATCAGTCCACTTGCTACCCTGTAAAATTCGATTTATTTCCACAGAAATACTGCAATGAATTATTTATTTCCACGCGATTGAAATTTGTTCTGCTTCGAAAATCGATGTGCAAGTTGATTTTCTTACCGAAATATAATAAAAATTCATCTTTGAAATCGAATTTGTTTCTTCGGTTACTTCTTCAGTTCAAATGGAGGTTACAGTTAGCTTCAAATCCCATAAATGCAGTATGTACCTTATTCGTGTAAACATTTTCACAGACCATCACATTCTTCGAGGCTACAAATAGATATTCTCGATGTAACAAAATTTCTATTGTCCTGTTTTTAATTGCATCAATGAGCTCGTTTGAATGAAATCCTTTGCATTAGTGATCTGTTTTTTTTGGTTCTTCAATACATATGCTTACAGAGAAGTGCAGCATTTTTGCAGAAACTTTTCTCGCACAAATGGCTTTGCATAATCTGACGAAAAATTGCTTCGATCAAAGAGTAGTACATGTTTGAAGCAATATACAGTTTTGTTCTGAAGTCCATTTGTTTTATCAGTTCACTTTTACGTTCAGACTGCGAATTGTCATAATTTTTAAATCGGAATGATTATAGACGAAAAATACGGAAATGACTTTCGAGCAGACGGGGAAATGTCACGTTATAATTTTAAAGGACGGCGAATCCAACTTCTCTGCAAATTTTACAAATGTGGTTTTTATGCCCGGATTGTGATTTCGAGTCGAAAATTTTTACATACGTAAACATAATGAGTACTTCTCAATTTTTTTGCGCGCGAAAAATTTTACTATGAATATTTGCGCAGTCTTATTAGTTTCAAACTTCCATGTTTCTTTGTCGAATGTGATACTAAACTTTGATTTTCACCTTTCATAGAGTTGCACAAAAAAATGGAACGGCGTTCCTAGGCAGATCCTGCCTTTTTTCTTGGCCGCCAAAACCACACTCGTTTGCCCTGGGGGTCTTTCAAGAAAACTCTGGACCGTTATGAGGAAACCAGGTGAGCTTTTCCTTGTGCATAAAAAAATAAGGGGGTTAAGCAACAGACGTGACTTGGCGAAAACCTGGGGGACCGGGTGGCCTGGATCACTTGATACGGTCTGGGGCATTTCCTGTTGAGAAAATTATCCAGTTTTTTTTTATTTTTTGCAAGCCATAATTTTCCACCCACTTCGATGCACTTACTTTTATTCCCATCGGAGCGAACGTGAAATTTTTTCTTCTTCTTCAAAGAACATCGCGGAACAAAGAGTATTGTAATGTACCTGCGTTCGTCTTTAGTCTGGTGAGACATTTTGTCATTTTCAGGACACCAAATATTCAAACATCATTGATGTTCCAGGATATTCTAAAATACTGTAGTTTCAAAAGTTCATCAGTGAAGCTTCGTACTCTACCCTGAAATTAATGTGTAATCCTTTCGCAACAGTGTTCCGTGAGATGTTTTAATGCGGTTATTTAACTGCACGGAAAGAACTCGTTGAGCCATGATGAGGTACTTGCACGTCACGACTAAGAGCGTCAATTTCCTTCTCGCAAATTATAACTCAGTCCTTGAAAATGACTCGCACGAGAAGGGAGTGCATTTTAACAATTATATCGTGACATAATTTTAAACGTTTGAAAACTTCCTTTTCGATAAGCTAGCTGACAATCATGACAACGAGGCTTCGGCATGCTTCTCTGAAAGTAAGAATTCGTCATTAAAAAAAAAGCCAAAAAACAGAATTTGTCTTAGACATAATTTAAATATTTAGTCATTCTGCTTAACCCAAGCCTGAATTTCCTTGAAGGTCCTCTCGCCTTTTCGAATGTTAGAAGTAGTACTGTATTTGGATTATTTTGTTGCTGGTCTTGTTTCACCTTAATTTCCTTCAACACACAGTAATAAAAAATTAAATATGGCAATAGGGAATCCAGTGGATCCCTGTAACAAGAAAGAACAACACAGAAAAATAAACCACTCAACAGGATTCATGGAAGCCCAACATCCAGATTCTCGGGGTTTATTTATTCCGCCACAAAATCCCCCCTTGGTCTGTCACGGAGCAAAGGCTCTGTGACAGACCAATAGTGGCTCTGCAGGAATAATTCGGAAAAGAAAAATGGACGCCCCCATACGGCAGTCCCGAAAGTCGAATCGGTGCGACTGGTGTGCGGTTCCGGAGAAAATCGGGGTTTTAGGTTTGAATCTGAAAAAATATAGTGAAAGAAGGACCCCAAAAGCAAAGGAAGATCAAAGTGGCCAGCTTTAATCTTTCTTTGGCAGCAATTTTGGATGGTGCGGCGGTTAAGTGCGCAACAAAAAGGTCAGAAACAAAGCTGAAAAATAAATTTCCATTGTAAAGGAAAACAGATAGGTTTGATTCGGTTCGGTTCGATGCGGTTCGGTCGGTTTGATGCGGTTCGGTCGGTTCGAATGATGCGAGAAGTTGATGCGATACGGATAAACGGTTAAGATTAGCATGCAAGGAGATATGAGAATGAAGGAGAGATGCAAGTTTGACGTGTGTGTGAACATTTTCGCAGAACAGGAAAGAACAAGTGCGAACAAGTGTCGTGCGGTGAACAAACGACAAGAAAGGCAAAGCCCAGAGATGGATACGGCAGATTCTTCGAAGAAGACGACGAAGAATGCGTCAGGAACACCAAATGCAGGTATGTGTAACACAAACATGCAATGAATCGTTATTTCATGAATGCTTGGTGCACACAGAGATGGAAGAAATGACGGATATGCTGATGAAGCTGGAGATCTCGTAGCTTGCCGCCTTCTTCCTCTACCGTCTACGACGTTTCTTCTTCCTTCTTCTTCTTGCTGTCTTCTGCCTCTGCTAGCATTGTTACCACGTTCACGGAGAAAACACCTTAAAGGTACACCTCTTTGAAGAATGAGAAGAAGTGTAGATCGTGTACATGTACTGGAATAATAATAATAATATTTAACCGCGGGGGGGGGCACGAGAAGCCTGAAAAGTGAATCGGCGTTTTTATTTGGCAATAAACGAACAAATGCGGCGTTTGAGCTCTTAAGTGCTTAGTTATATTCCCCTGCTTAGTTCGAAATCCACCTGTGCGCGTCTACGTTTCATTTGAGAATGAGTAAATAGCATCAAGTAATGTTTTGAAAGAGCAAAGGATTTGTATCAGGAGTTGTAAAGCATAACACGACAGTACACGGTTTTGTTGCACTCTTAAAGGTGATGGAGAAGATCGAAAAACTGAACGACGACGGCTGGAGACGATTGAAGAGGTTTTTAGCCACAGAGGAAACATCAGACGGAACAGAGGGAACAAAACGAAGAAGAGCATGCAACCAAGAGGACGCACCTGAGACGATGGAGACGGACATGCTCAAAAGGATGCAGAGGGCGTTAGAAAAACGAAAGAAAGAAGCATTTGAGATGATTACAAGAATTGACACGGAATTGGTAAAACATGCACTAATGAATGTTGGTGAACGTTTTGTGCTTGACAAGGAAGGTACAGGTAAGAAAGAACAAGATGTGTGAATGAGGAGTGTTAAATAAAAACGTTGTAATGATTAACAGGGAAGGTACAAACGCTAGAAATCGGAAAAATGCGCATCCATACGGGAAAGTTTGAGGACCTGATGAACTTGTGGGAGAAACAGACAACAGGCGACGGACGGGAGAAAGAAGAAGACAGTGATGAAGAGGAGAAGATGGATGCAGAAGGATCAGGTGAACCGAACGGAGCAGAAGAACGTCAAATGAACATGGAGGTGATGGACACCCATGAAGAGAAGAAGGACGAAAACGTACGGCGTCCACTGAGAAGCACCCCCATAGAATCCAGAATTGATTTGCGTAAGTTTTAAGAACAGAAAGCAACATTGAACATGTGAAAAATATATTCCGGTGATGATTGCAGGACGGTTGCAGGAGGCCTTTAAGGTGTCAAATTACGTACCAGAAGACCTTGCAACATATATGCGACGAGTGGCAGAAAACATGGGAATGACCGAAGAAGTGTTGACAGAATTAAAGGGAAAGGTTGACTTACCAATCCCCGGAACGGTTGTGCAAGATTTCAAATTTGGCACGAAAAGGCTCAAATTTCCCGGACCAGGTTTAAAAAATTCAAAAAGGAGAGCGGTATTAATTATTAGCTCATCCATGTGTTCGCTATTCCGGCTGGGAAATGGAAGATGGTTTTTTAGAACCCGGATTATTATTCCGGTGATGATTGCAGGACGGTTGCAGGAGGCCTTTAAGGTTTCAAATTACGTACCAGAAGACCTGGCAACATATATGCGACGAGTGGCAGAAAACATGGGAATGACCGAAGAAGTGTTGACAGAATTAAAGGGAAAGGTTGACTTACCAATCCCCGGAACGGTTGTGCAAGATTTCAAATTTGGCACGAAAAGGCTCAAATTTCCCGGACCAGGTTTAAAAAATTCAAAAAGGAGACCGGTATTAATTATTAGCTCATCCATGTGTTCGCTATTCCGGCTGGGAAATGGAAGATGGTTTTTTAGAACCCGGGTTAATGGTGAACAATGGGTAGACCACCCAGTACTAAACTGTGAACACCTAACAGAAGAGCTGGACGTGGATGTGTTTCAAGTGAGTATAGGAAAGAAAGGAAAGAAATACTGAAGTTATAATGAAATAATGATTTACAGTACGCCATCAGTGGATGGGCAGCAGTGATCGGCACGGGAACGTACACGGCTGAGGAAATCAAGGAGAAAGTTTATGCAGACCTGAACTTAGATGACACCTTCGAGTTTGCGCAAATTTACGTCAGATGTGGAACAAATGACATCAAAGAGATGTGTCTGAGGACGGAAAAAATGGTCGTCAGCAACTTCCGAGGGTTCTTGACAATGTATGAGGATTTCATGGATAAGATGGCAACAGCATTTGGAGTACCAATAATAGCAATCGGAGCGTCACCACCAAACCCAACATTGGGAGAGGATGAAGGGAAAACGCTGGATAAAGATGAGGAAGGACTGCCGGTGGTCCCCTTAACAGTACAGGGACGAATGAATGCCGTTTCGGATGAGGCAAGGATGCAAGCTGGGCGAACGTTTCAAATCAAACTGTATGAGGAACTAAGGAGCAAAATTGGAATAAGACAAGGAGCGCAAGGTTCTCCAGGATGGTGGGCATTACCCACACCAATCGAGTACCTAATCAAATACAGTAGGGCGTATGGAAAACTAAAAAGTTTCGGACATATCGCCCCAAGAGGATTATTGAAATTTGCAAGAGACCATGGAATGGTCATTGCGTTTGGCTTGGAACTATTACCAGGAGACAAAAGATATGCGGTGAAATCATGCTCCGGAAAATGCGCAATCTGGGGCGAAGATGGAGGAGTCTTTTTTGGGATACCACCAACCCAAGCCCATGCACATTGTGGTTTGACAGGACCAGTAGGGGCATGCGAAGGAGGTGAAGATAGGTTCTATGACCCGGAAAGAAAAGGGGAGGCGGGAGATCCATTTATCAGGTAAGCTGAACAACAAAACCAAAAAAGTAACCAATAAACCAAAAGAATAAATGAATTGCAGCACGTTGACCGGAAAGTTGGAGTACGACGAATGCTTTACGACTGACATGGCCTTATACCACCCAAAGAGGCGAGACACAAAGGAAGGAGTTTGCTCAGGGGACGTCGTGAAAGTGCGAGGATTGCAGTACCGAACAATTGTCGTGTTCAAGACATACAAAGGCTGCTGGGTGGTTGGCTGTGGGGGACGATTCTTCTATCCAATGGAAATGCTATGCGTTGCAGAACGTCACGAAGTATCACGACGAGTTTAAAAAGACGAAATGACGTGAATCGAGAAATTAAGTTCAAAGAAAGAAAAAAGAAAAACGCAAAATTAAGTTGAAGAATGAAAAACAAAACGGGTAAAACGTGGTGAAAGAAAAGAATGGTACTTGAAAGTGAAGTGACGGGCATGAAATTGTTTGATACGGTTCTGATTTTTTGATATGCGGCGAAGAAAGAAAAGAAATGAAACGACTGATTTCACAAAGCGTTTTGAAAAGAATGAAGAGTAATAAGAAGTGCATCAGATGTAGGAAGATAATGATCCTGCTGCGGAACATCTAACTCAAAGGGGACAATGTTATGAACAGTAAATGAAACGACTGATTTCACAAAGCGTTTTGAAAGGAATTAAGAGTAATAAGAAGCGCATCAGATGTAGGAAGATAATGATCCTGCTGCGGGACATCTAACTCAAAGGGGACAATGTTATGAACAGATTGATTTGTAAGAATGCGAGGAAGATCAGGATTATTAGCTGTAGGAACAAGAAGATCTACAGAACGAATAACACCATCACGAGGACTAGGGTAAGTGCGAAGAATACGACATAAAGTCCATTTAAGACGTTCGAAGGGAGTATCTTTTTTAAGACATGGTCGCTTATAAAGAACAACTTGTCCTTCATAAGGCGGTTGAACAGAAGAGGTTTTAGCAGACTTAGGAAATTTACGAAGATCACGGATGTAACCGTCTGCATAATTTGCCCAGATTTTCTTCAAAATTTTGAATCTAAATTGTGCTTGTTGCGTTAAATGACCTTTAGTGTCAATTTCAAGAAAGCACGTAGGTTGTGGTCCATAGCTTAGCGTACCGGAGAACCAATCAGCTTTATGTGGATTGAGAAACAGAGACGGAGTAATGATCATGGGAGCATCACGATCAGTAGTAATATAAGTTAAAGGACGAGAATTGATTTGACGCTCACAGTAAGTAACACCAGCAAGTAAAGTATTAGTATTACTGCAAGGAAGGCCTTTAAAACTTTTGGCAAGACATGTTTTAATAGTACGCATATGTCGTTCATAAAATCCACCCCACCAAGGGGCACGGGATGCGTTAAAATGCCAAGCAATACGACAGTACTTATTAAGAATTTTAAATTCATGAGCGGCTAAGAAACGAGGCCAAGCAGCACGGAAAGTAGAGGCATTATCAGAAATGACAGTGATAGGATTGACATCACGGCGATGACAAAAGGTATCAAACGCACCCGTGAAACATTCAAGGGATACATGTTCAACAGGTTCTAAATGAACAGCTCGAGTAAGAGTGCAAGAAATAACAAGAAGGGAAACCTGCATGGGTGGAATAGGGCGAACAAGTTTACTTGTCGGACGAGTTTGGCCTTTCTGACGAGCATGATGTAAATTGCGATTTGACTGATCAAAATTGAGCGTGCGAAAGGGACCAACAAAATCAATACCAACATGAAGAAATGGAATAATACCACTGTAACGAAAAGATGGGAGGGGAGCAATAGGCATACGGAAGGGTTTGCAGTCAAAACGACGGCAATGAAAACACTCACGTTTAACTTCTTTAGCAAGTTGCCGTGCATGCGGAATCCAAAAACGTTCAAAAAGATGAGTAAGAATCTGCTCCGGAGAACAATGACCATGGTCAACATGCGTAGAAATAAAAAGCGCCTTCAGAAGATTAGTACGATGACGACGAGGAGGTAATGGTAAATAAATAAGAGTTTGACGAGCAGGATTAGTGATAGGAACTAAGGTTTGAAAATCAATTGCTTGACGACTGTGAGAAACAATAATATGACGAACAGAATCCCAGGCCAAATCAGGCTTATCAGGAACAGATCGTTTAGAGATAAGTAAAAACCATTCGTTGGGCGCATGAAAGCGTTGAATCAAACGATAAGCATCAAACTCAGCAGTGTCATACTCGAGAGACGTGAAAGGCGTATGATAAGAAGCCAGAGGCCAGTGAGGTTCTAAAGTGGGAGACACATGAAGACGAAGCACAAAAAGCGCACAATTATATTTAAAGAATGTCTTAAACCGAGACCAAACACAGATACGCTTAAGAACACGATTCCAACGAGTAATACGAGAAAATGTTTTAACAATGATTTGTTTCCCTTCGATATAGGCAGGTGTGTCGGAAAGTGAAAGGTCCAGGGAAACGGCGGAAAAAGAAAAAGATTGCGCGGGCCAATTGGCACGGTATGGTAACCAGGCAGGTCCATTCAACCATAAAGGATCGGCAAGAAGAGTGTCAACAGCAGCACCGCGAGAGGCAAGATCAGCAGGATTTTGATCGGTCGGTACGTACTGCCAATAATTCGGAGTTGAGGTGGTGAGGATTTTGTTAACACGAAGACGAACATAAGCAACGGTACGAGGACTATCAGAATGAATCCAACGAAGCGCAATTTGAGAATCAATCCAATAATAAGTTGGACAAGCATGAAGATCCAAAGCTAACTTAACATCTTGAACAAGAGTGCTTAACATACATGCTGCAGTAAGTTCAAGACGATTGATGCGGAGAGGATCAGATTGACTTAAGGTAGTACGTTGCTTGGCGGGAATAAGTTTAGACTTACCCCACAATAAAGATACTTTAAAGGAGGTAGAAGTAAAAGAAACATAATAAATAACGACACCAAGAGCTAAACCACTGGCATCAGAAAAAGCATGCAATTCGCCATGTGTTTCACCATCAAGACGAATGCGCCGGGATATGTGAAGAGTTGAAATCCGAGAAAGGTCAAAAGCAGCTTGTTTAAGGGAATTGCTGTCGGCAACACTTAAAAGAGAATCCCAGGAAGCCTTAGGATTAGCATCATTGAAACGCTGAAGAAGAAGCTTGACATCAGTACTAACAGGAGCAGCATTACCCCAAGGATCGTAAGCTTTAGCAGTAACACCAACAGCTTGACGTTTACGAATTTGAGATGTTTTGGGAAATTTCAGGATATTGTCGGTAGACGGGGTAAGGGTATCAGTGGCAGGATCATAAAGAACACCAAGAATCTTATATGGTTTCAAAAGAGCAGGGTCAGAAGTAACTGTCGGATAGGTACGGATTTTAGAAAGCTCAAAGCCCCCCAGTTTAAGAGCAAGAGAAGCCTTGTACAATTGGCGTTGGACAGCAGAAAGATCAGGGCCAAGGACTAAAACATCATCAACGTAAGTATTATCTTCCAAATCATGAAGATCGGTAGCACTTAAGAGATTACGTTGATACGCAAGACGATAAAGATAACGAACACAAGCATTGAGAACAAAGGGAGCACAATTAATACCCCAAGGAAGACGTAACCAACGATAAAACTTATAAGCATATTGGCCATCAGGTTGCTTAACCGGCCAACGAATAATAAGAAGCCATTGATCTTCCTCAGCTAATTGAATTTGTACAAACGCCTTCTTAACGTCAGCAATTCCGAATGCAACGGAAGAACGCAAGCGGAAAAGCATATGAAGAATCTTAGGCAACAAACTCGGGCCCTTATCAAATAAGTCATTACAAGAAAGACAGCCCTTGTCATGAGCATCGCCCGCAATGACAACACGTAAAGGGGTAGAGGAACTACTAGGGCGTTCAACGCCATGGTGAGGAAGTTCGGTATAAGGCGTACCACGTTGGTTCAACTCGTCAAGAGTGGTCTCAGTGATAATGCCATCACGAATCCAATCTTCAACAAAAGTCGTATACGCGTCAGCTAAGGGACCACCTTTTTCTAAAAGGCGAATAACGGAACGACTACGGATTTCACCAGTACGAAGATTGTTGGAACATAAAGAGGGGAAACAAGGACCTTTAGGTAAAGGAGCAATAATGCGACCCTGCGGACTAATGCAAATCTGAGAAAGATAAGCATCAAGCTGCTGAATTATTCCGCCACAGAATCTTTCTGCAGTACTAAGAGGCTCAAGCAATTATTAATAATAGAATAGCCTTGTTTTGGGGGATTTTTGAAAATGAAATCCATTCTCAAGAAAGAAAAGATACATAAACACAAATGAAACACAGACTAGATCTGAACTCTGAAAGGAGTTTGGGTCAACAAAGACAAGAACATTTGAAGATGAGACTCTTTCTTGGAACTGTTGTCATTTGTTGTAGATTGAATTTTGCTTATTCAGAAGGTTTGCAAAGGCTTCTGGGACTGTTTTGAGGCTGACATTTTCTCTTGTTCCTTTATACCCTTATCATGGCAGAGTCACACTTGTAAATAAGTTTTTTTCTGTTTTTCACAATGTTCTGTGCAGCCCTCTTCTGTATACAGTATAATCTTCCTTGAATAGAATACGATTATTATTAACTGCTCTAAAAATGTATCTCCGACTTTTAGGGATTCGGGCACATGTTCGTCTCTTCCCACAAGTTCCTTTATTCTCCGTGATACATCTTCCTTTTCTGCACCAAGAAATGTCTTTGAATTTTGGAAAGTGTGCTCCATCTTTACTTGACAAAGGTATATTTCCTTCCTAACGCAATTTCAGCACTTTTTCTTTTCCTTGGCTTGAAGTTCTCATCGTGATTTTTTTTTATACCATCGTGATTTTTTTCTCGTTGAGGATGCCTTCTGCCATTTTCAATGTAAGAAAAGAATACAAAGTTTTCTAGAGTTTGAATTGTTTTTAAATGTTTTTTCTGGCAATTGTTGCGTCGAATTTTTGAATATGATTAATTTTCAGTTTTCAATGAAACTGTTCTTCAAAATTCCTGTACTGTACCTAAATTTTCCTCAAAAGATTTTTTTTGGAGAGGCGAAGGCTAGAAAACTCCTATGAGCCCAAAAATACTTGAACGAATTTCACAACTTGAGACCTCTTCTATGATTTTCTTTTGAGGCGGAAAAATGCGGTTACCTTCAAAATAATCTTGTCGGCTGGGTCGACATTAGTTCATGACTATAGGAAACAAAGCAAATTAGTAATTTACTTTTCGAGACGAACATGTGATGAACCAAGTGCGTGTATGTTTCAGGGATCAGGATTTATTCTGAAGAGCCTCTCAGTGATATATAAGTATGTTCTTCAAGCTCAAGCTCAAGAGAGCAATCAAAGAAAGGAAAAGCCACGGAGTTGAAAAAAAAACAAGAATAATATTGCGTTTTTCAGCTCTTCAAGTCTTTTGTGGTTACTATGTTTTGCTTCATGTATGAAACACTCCAACGATCTAGAATCCAACGTGAA